ATCAATTATACAATCATATAAAAAATATTTCCATAACCGGGATTTCTACACTCCCCGTGAAGTTGGATCGTAGATGTTGACCATATCCAACTTGTAGATGAAATCCTTAAAGTTTTGTCGAGGTAGTCCGTTAGTGAATATATCGGCGATCTGTTCTTTGGTAGGTACATATGTCATACATATAATCCCTTATTCAACCTTTTTTTTGATGAAGCGTCTGTCCACTTCAATGTGTTTGGTTCGATCGTGTTGGACTGGATTGACGGAGATGTTGATAGCTGCTTTGTTGTCACAATACATTTTGATTGGAAAATTTACCATAACCTGTAACTGTCCCAATAATTTTTTCAATCACAATCCTTTGCATATTCCTTGTGCGATTGCTCTTAACTCAATTTCGGCACTACTTCTGGCTACTACATTTTGTTTCTTACTCCTTCAAGTTATCAAGTTTCCCCATACAAATGTACAATAGCCAGTAGTTGATCTTCTGTCTTCTATTGATCCAGTCCAATCTACATCAGTAAAGATTTCTACTTCTTTNNAGTAAAGATTTCTACTTCTTTTCTTTCGTTTTTCTTAAAGAAGAGCCCCTTTCTAGGAGTACCTTTTAGATATCTGAGGATTTTGTAAACTGCTTCTAGGTGAGTTGCCCTTGGGGAATGCATGTGTTGACTTACTACACTAACAGCAAACGCAATGCCAGGTCTTGTATGTGAGAGGTAGATTAACTTGCCAACTAATCGCTGATATCTGTCCTTTTCAACTGGTTTTCCCATGTCTACTCCTTTTCTTCCTATGTCTATAGGTGTGTCACTTGGTTTACATCCAAGCATGCCCATTTCAATCAGGAGATCGAGAATGTACTTATGTTGTGAAACATTGATACTCTTCTTCGATTGGGCAACTTCCATTCCTAAAAAGTATCTCATATGTCCCAGATCCTTAACTTCGAATTCTACTGCTAAGTTTTTCTTTAGGCACTCTAGTCCCTCTATGTTATCTCCTGTTAGTATTATGTCATCAACATATAAAATGACGATTGCTTTTGTCTCATCTTTAGACAAGTGGTAGAACACAGTATGATCTGGCTATCCTTGCTGATATTATTGGCTCCTTAGCACCCTTGCAAACCTGTCAAACCATGCTCTGGGTGACTATTTGAGGCCGTACAAAGATTTGTTTAGTTTACACACCTTGTTGTCTTCATACATTCATTGAAACCTGGGGGTAACGTCATGAAGACCTCTTCTTCTAATTCTCCATTCAAGAATGCATTCTTAATGTCAAGCTGTTGAAGAGGCCAATCCAGACTCGCTGCTAAGGACAAGATAACCCTGATTGTGTTAAGTTTTGCCACATGAGCAAATGTTTCTGTGTAATCAATGCCATAGGTCTGTGTATATCCCTTTGCAACAAGTCGAGCTTTGTACCGTTCTATTTCCCCATCAGCCTTGTATTTCACATTAAAGACCCATTTACGCCCGACAGGTTTCTTTTCTTTAGGTAACTCCACCACATCCCAAGTCTTATTTTTCTCCAGTGCTCGCATTTCTTCTAGGACTGCTTCTTTCCATTCTGGAATAGTCATGGCTTCCTGAATACTCTTTGGAATTTCTGTATTGTCAAGATTTGAGGAAAAAGTGCGAAATCCTGTAGATAGAACATTATATGAAACAAATTTTGAGATTGGGTAGAAGGTACATGACCGAGGTTTTTTCCTGAGAGCAATAGGTAGATCATCATCTGAGGACTCCATTAGGTCTGAGGAATTTTCATGGAGGTCTGGAGCTATCATCGGTTCAAATTCTTTTGGTGCTTCGGAGTGAGGTTTTCCTCGTACTTTGATTTTTGCTTTCTTGAGTAAACTCGCATCTCTTTGTTAACTTGCTTTTCTGCTTCTCGCCCCGAGTTTAAGTGTCCTTTTGTATTTGACATATTAGAATGAGGGGACGTGGTCGAGTCAGTATTTGAGATAGGTTCAGTGGGTGAGAGATCAAAGTTAAAAAAATGATCATTACTTAAGAGCCGATCTTTACTCAAAGTCTTCACCTGAAGAGAGGTTTTTTTGAATTAGGGAGTTTTTTCAAAAAATGTGACATCGAGGCCAACAAAAACTTTCTTGTGGACGAATCATAGCATTTGTAGCCTTTTTGAGTAACTGAGTATCCAATAAATACACATTTAAGTGCATGTGGATCGAGTTTGCCTTGATGATGAGGGTGTATGTGAATGAAGGCGGTGCAACCGAATATTCGAAGGGGTAAGTGTGAATCAAGGCGGGAATTGGGAAATGATTCCTGGAATGTTTTGATGGGTGATTTGAAAGAGAGAATACGACTGGGCATTCTATTTATGAGATAAACTGATATCAAAATAGCATCACCCCAGAATAGTTTGGGTATATGTGTTGTAAACATTAATGCACGAGCAACTTTAAGAAGATGTCTATTTTTTCGTTCGACAATCCCATTTTGTTGGAGAGTATCAACACAAGAACTTTGATG